AGAAAGTGAGCAAGGAAGCAGGATGGTACCTCCATCCACCTGCCCCTGCCCTCTACCACTTCCACATAACACCACCTAGCGTGTCAACCGAGTGTGCTCTCACAGTTCATTCAACCAACTGATGTGCAGTCAGCCGTATTTACAATATGAAAAGACAAATACCAATTGGTCATTAATGTTCATATAATTAGACAGTCTTGTTCATGAGGACTGGAACATATGGATTTTTCTGCATATTACATTAGAATAATGAGAATATCCTCATGCTTGGGAAATGCTCTGTGTTTATAATAAATTCATTCACCCTATACAAATAACAGAATATGAATTTAAACAAACTAAAGATTAACTAAAAATAAATACCATTTTTAACAAGTAAAATACAGAAAATACTGCTTGAAACTACAGTCTCAATTTTATGGTATAAATAAAGAGCATCTGCTTTTTTAAAAAACACTCTTTTCTTTTTTAAATGGCATCTGCTTTTAAAGTTGAAACTGTGAGTTTTATATATCAGAAATCCTTCAACAAAATAGATCAGTATACTACAAAATTTTTACTCTACAAAGACTATTTTTGAAGCGTGACATATCTATCTGCATAGTTTCAATTTTTAAGGTACAATAAAAAAATATTATTTTGAATTTAAAGAGTCAAGTACTTAAGTCTTTAATACTAATTTATTTTCTATTTTAAAGTCAAAAAGAATTTTAGGGGTCACTCTAAAATTTAAACTTTTCTCAATGTATACCTAACACATAATCAAATCTCAATGTATCATAAAGCGGTCTGAACTCTACTATTCTTGCTATGACAGATTTATATTTCAATTTTTATGGAATATGAAAAAGAGTATGGCATTGAGGGAAGTAATGAAGAGAAGCATTCACTTTATCACTTTTATTATTTGAATTATTTACAGGAATGTTTTTATACATTGCTTATATAATTAAAAATATATCCCCAAAGGAACTAATGAGAAAACTGAATATGTAAGCTTTTTGTATATATTTTCCCTGAGAAAATTATCAAAGACCAAAGTACACTAAAGTAGAAAAAATGCTACTTAAAAATGCTAAAGTAGAAAATATAGAATATATATAAAATGAAGCTTTGCAAAAAATTGATAAGTGAAGCAATTACACTAATTTATCAATCATCTAATAACATATTCTGGGAATTGTGCTATTAACTATAGGGAATATTAAGGTGTACTGAGTCACAACACTAGCCCTCCAGGAGTTCACAATTTTGTTAAGAAATTGCAAAATTTACAAACAAAAAGTTAAAATATATACAAGGCAATGTGTCCCTGACAACAAATGATTTATTCTAAATGTTATTCTCTCATTTGAAGATGTAGGGTTAAAATATTTTGCAGACATACTTAATAGCACTGTAGTTTTTAGATCACTGGTTGAGAAAATGCAATAAGCAAAAAGTGCCTATGACTATGGAAGCACTTTATATTAGAATAGGACTCTGCTGCCAATAATGGAAAACCAAGATAACACTATTTAAATAACACAAAAGTTTATTTCTCTCATGTAATTATAAGCAGTTCAGAACTGGCAGACTGGCTTCCCAACATATCAGGAACCCAGGCTCCTTTGATCTTGTGACTGTGTCATCCTCAAGATGCCACTTCTACCTCAGGATCCAAGATGACTGCTTCAGCTCCAGGATCACATCCTCATTTCAGCCAGCAAGAAACAAGACGAAGGGCATGTTCTCTCCCTTTACATTTATCTGAGTAGTACAGTTAGAATGACACAGGTTCTAATTGTGGCCTGACCAGTTACTAGCTGTGTGACCCAGGGGTTAGTTATTTAATGTCTGTAAACATCAGCTTTTCAGAAGTATGACACAACACTTCTGCTTACATTCCATTGTAAGCAGAATTTGGTTACATTTAGCTGCAAGGGAGGCTAGAGAATGTTGTAATTATTTTGGACAGTAATATGTCTGGTATGTATTATGGAAAATGGTAGAATGGATTTTGGGGAACCAGAGATCTCTGTCACACAATTTCTTCTAAAAATATTAATGAGAAAAAAATACTTTTATACTTCTGAAAAACAGATAAATATTATGTGCAAGATATATGAATTAAATAATCTATAGATAATGCTTGGTGAGCATATGAATTTGAGGATCTGGTCACAAACTGGTCACAACTGAAAGCTGCACAGGGCTCAAAGGCAATCTGGATGATTTTAGGTTGGAAAGGTTTCATGCAGGAGATGAGCTGAACCTTGAAGCATGTGCAAGACTGTGAAATGGATGGGGAAGGGCAACTGAGACAAAACTCAACAGCAAAGGCAATGAAGCAAGCAGGGCAGTTTGGCTGGAGCAGAGGGCATGCGGAAGTACTTTATAAACCTAAAATGGTATGAACATTGTCTTTATCACATAGAAAGTATTGGAAGGTAAGGTTTAAAGAAGGCTGAAACGTTGTAGGAAAGATTTTGAATGCTAAAGGGAGGCTTTTGACATTGTGGCTCTGCCAGTTACTAGATGTGTGGCCCCAAGCCAAATTAGTTTACCTCTGTGAACACTGACTTCCTCATCTGTGAAATGTGGGTGTTAATAACCACCTAATAGAGTTGTTTTGAGGTTAAATATTAACATGCAGCCAGCATTCAGTAAACAGTAGGATTAATAAAGCTCTGAGTAATTGAGTAACATGGTAATTTTTTAAAGAGTTAACAGCAATCTGATAGCCAAGGTAGGACTGGTGAGAGAAGGAAAAATATAAAGGCAGAGCAAAGCCACAGCAAGTAATCCAGCATAGCTGACGTGCAGGAGTCTGCTCTTTAAGCCTTAGGCAAAGGAAAATTGAAGTTGGCCCAGGGAATATTGGAGGCAGTGATATCTGGGAGGACTACTGCCAAAGTCCATGCTCAGGGATGAGGGCCTGAATAAGACAGCGCTGAGGATGGAGAAAAAGATCTGGCTATGAAAGGAACCTGCTAAATGACTGCAGGTGGGAGGTGAAGAAAAGGGAAGAAAGGTTCTGATGTGGGTGACTGAATGGTCAGTGGCATCATTAACCAAAATAAGAAAAAGAGGAAGAAAGATAGAATGGGGTGGGGTGATTAATTCAGTTTAGACTACTGAAGTGATGCAGGGACATCCAGATGATGTAGGTGTCCAATAACCCAATAAATACAGAGTTCTAGCATCATAAGAGGTGTGTGGGCTGGAGATGTGTAGATTTGGGAGTCCTGTGAAATAAGAGTAGCTGAAGCCATAGGAGGAGAAGAGGAGTCCTCCCAGAGAATCCTGAAGAAGGTCAACACTTTCATGGGTAAGGAAGAAAGAGAAGCCAGAAAGAGGGACATAAAAATGAGAGATGGGAGAACTGGGAGACAGTGGTACAAAGAAACCAAGAGAAAGTGTAGTGGCTAATAGAATCTTCAAGATGTTATGAGTTCCCGTAAGTTGGGAAAAGACCTGGAGAGGTTAGCAGACAGCTCAAAGGGTCATGTCGCTGGGTGCTTGTCAGAGAGTTTGTGCTGGAGTTGTATGGGAAAGGGTTATCTCCAGAAACGCTTACCTACCTCCTGCTGATGTGAAGAACAGTTCAGGAAGCAGATTAAGAAATATGCCACTACACTGAGTGATGCCAAGGCAACAGGAAGATGGTTGGAGTTTCTGACACACTCTTCGTGCCTCTATTTTGGTCTCCCTCTCTCAGTGGTGGACCAAAGGTCTGGAAGGGTGAAAGTGGAAAGTACTAGCAAATGAAGCTAGCAGAGAGCCTCCATTCTCATAGCCCCTACTAGACTGTGAACTTTTGGAGACTTATCCTCAGCATCTAGCACTGCACTGTGAATATAGAGGCGCTCACGTTTGTTGAATAAAAAGTCAAAAGCAAATAAGATAATTGACCAAGAAGAGAAATAAGTGCTGTAGGACATAAGCAAATAATCTAGAGAAGTGGTTAGAACTGCTGGAATCAAACCTTCGTAGGAATGAGGCTCTACTGCCTCCTAGCTAATGTATAAACTTGGGCAAGTTCCTTAAATACACTGCGGGAACCACAGCAGAGCCCACCACCCTAGATATAGCACTCACCTAAATGACAACAATTACAACGTACTTGGCCAAGTACTTATTATTACTCAACTCTCCAGAAGTCTGACCTAAGAACATATTTAGCACATTTTTAAAGGAATTACAACTGTAAATAGACCACTTATTATCAATCAATGCCACCTACTAATGTTTACTGTAACCAGGAACTGCACAGCCCCATCACAATAAAACCATGGAGATGAAGTCTATCTCTCATGGAGTCATTAACAAGTTCAGCAAAATTAAATGAGGCCATTTATGTAAAAGAACTTTAACAATGAATAGCATCCACCATAAACGTCAGATGGCCCCTTCTTAAAAATGTAGCTGTTAAAAAATAAGCAATTCTTGTACTCAGCACCCTTGTTATGAAATGGAAGCCTCTATTATACTCATTTGGCAAAAAGAAGAAAAGAAACAGCTTTTTTTTTCAATGATCTATGATTTGCTATTTTTTAGAAAAGCCAAGAAAAGAAAAAGTAGCCCTCTAAATTGTACTTACAAATCCTTCTTCTGTAATAGTTGGTGGCTCTGAAACAAGATAAAATATTACATTATCTCACTCAAATCTGATTTCCTTTTAAAGTAAATGAAACAATTTGAGACAGCACTTAGCCCAGCTTTATACGTGGGCAAGCTCAGTAAAATCTTGGCCCTCTGTTCATTTTCTGCACATGGACTGAATTTTAAGTTGGAATTCAAGGTGGAAGTGGGAAGGAAAGGCCTCTGGAATTCAGCTTGGTCACTAATTGACTGTGACCCTGGAGTTAACCTTAATAGACGGAGGCCTGCATTACTCCCGCTGCAAAACGGAGAATTAAGCAAGATAAAACAGGACAGGGCCAACGAAGCACTGGGAAAAGGGTGAGGGGTTAAATTCCTTACAAAATGCGGTGAGAGAACTCTGGAGCCAGTGCTACGGGACGCACGGGCAGAGAAGGAAACCCAGAGGCGGTGCGCAGAGGGGCCGCCCCGCGGGCGAGAGCAGCGGCCCACGAGCCTCGGCCCCGACACCGACCCCGGCCGCCCCACCTACCGGCGGTGAGCCGCCTCTCGCTCATGCCGCCGCCGCTGCCCGCGCCCCCGTCACCCGTGCGGGAACGGATGACGACGCGGAGCGACGCGCGGCCCCGGACCACGCCGGCCGCTGTGGCCCCGCCCGGCCCGAGTTGCTATGGAGCTGAGACAATGCGGGCGCCGAGCAGCGGGCAGTCACGCGCCTCTCGGGGCCCCCCGGGGCCGAGGAAGGTACGCTGTCTGACCCCGCCCGTCCTCCTTCGGGCCAGGGGCCGGCCCCGCCGCCAACGGCTGTGGAACGACGGGCGCCCAGACCCCGGCGCTGCCACCGCTAGGGCCCTGGAGACGCATCGCCCTTAGAGCCCGAACTAGCTGGGGTCTCGTGCCTGTGGTGACTGCTGCTCAGGCCTGCTCTCCCCGCACAAGCTCCCGCACAAGCTCCGCCCACACCGTCCAAAGTAAGAAAAGACCGGCTCCGAGCGGGTGCGGGGATGGAGGGCCCTCTGGCTAGTCCTGGGAAGACGAGGAAGGAAGGGAAGAGTTTTCTAGATACCGAAGGAGGGGGAGTACTCGCCACACACAGCTCTTGAGCGCGTTCAGTTCTATGAATGCCTGTATAAAAAGTTAAATATTCACGTGCTTTAGGAACCAGATTTTCCTCACACTTTTCCTCCAATCGGTTAGGGCAGCCAAATTCTCAAGATAGCTAAGATTTTAAAATTACCGAAGGAATCATGAAGAGGGGACAATATACTGAGGTTGCCCATAGTGTATGTTCCCGGAAAAGTTATGATAGAGGAGTTTAAGTGAAGAGTGAAATTTGAAAAAAGAAAAACAATACCTCTAATTAGGAAAAAGTGAGCGTTTCTAGCAACGTCGTGGCTAACTCAGAGTTCCAGCCCAGACCTCTCCCCCTGAACCTGAGAATCCTAAATCCAGTTTCTACCCGTGGTAGCTCTTCTTGGATGCTCCCAAATCAAAATGTCCAAAGGGAAATTCACATTTTTCCCATTTCTTATTTTCAAATTTCATCTTCTTACATAAATCCCATATTCAGTAAGCGATACCTTCTTCCACCAAGTGACTCAAGCCAGAAACACCATATTCACCCAAGCACTAGGTCCTGCCAATTCTACCTTGAAGTATTTCTGGAATCTGGAATCTTCTCTCCTTTCCCACTAACAACCAGAGTCCTAGCACAGGCTGCCATTTGGACTGTTGTAAAATACTTCCTAACTTGTCTCTCGGCCGTTGCTTCCAGTGGAGTTCCCCTTGAGTCCATTCTCCATGCTGAAAGCAAAATTATCCAATTGCAAATCTGACCTACTTGAAACCCTCAGTGGCTCCACATTTGCCTCCTAGGGCCTGCAGGTGTGTGAGTGCTTAAGCAAACAAGGAGTAAGACAAGGGGTGCTGGTACTGCAAGAAACCGTAACACCTGCTTAGTTATATTTATTTCCTCTTCAGCAGTACATAGGCAAAGACAAAAAAATAAAGCAATAAACCACTACCTTGGCCAAACAGAATCAGCGGGCCAAATGAAGTCAAGGGAGACTAGTGAGGAGAACAGGAAGGGGATGCGTGAGGGAACAAATCAGCAATGGCTTTGTCGGCCCTCGTAAGGACTCTGGCTTTCATTCTGAGTGAAACACAAGCTATAGGAGTTTGAACAAAGAAGTACCACGATTTTACTTTTATTTGAAAATGATCACTCTGGGTGCTGTATAGCGAATGCAGATGGGCCAGGTAGTAGCAGGCAAGAGCGGGTGGCTCAGAGCAGGGTAGTAGCAGGTTTGAGTAACAGGTTTGAGATGGACTCATGGATTCTGCGTATATTTGAAGGTAGGGCCAAGATGATTCCCTGACAAAGTGGATGTTGGAATGAAAGTAGTTGAGAATAATTCCAAGTTTTTTGCCATGAGCAGCCGAGAGGATGGAGTTGCAATCATTGGAGATGGAGAAAGCTGTGAGAGGAACACAGGTAGGAAAGAGGTTAAGAAGCCTATTAGCCATCCAAAGCAAAGATTTTGAGTTTGCAGTTGATACAGAAGCCTGGAATTTGGGAGATACAAATTTAAGAGTTGACATACAAACGGGCTTTTCAGGCATTTCCTTGCACCATTTTTCTGTCACCAGGGAAGCCCTTCTGGCCTTTCTTTATCAGGCTAAATTTTCTCATTCTTCAATACTCAGCTTGAGTGTCATCTCCAGAATACCTTCACGTGAGCTCCTTTCATTGACCTCTCCCTCTTACTCCTATGTAGTTAGTACAAACTCATGTCTTAAAGGGATACCCTTTACTCTCGGTGCCACTCACCAGACAGTAAACTCCTGGGGGTGAAGGAGATTCATGTTCTTTTAACCACCCAGCACCCACTACTGAGTGCCACTGCTCAGTACATATTTGTTGAAACATCTCTCCATTGCAGTCATTCTGCCCTGCTCACAGACAAGATATGTTAATTCCTGTTTTAGGTAGCCATACTGATGAGAAGTCAATAATTTGTTTTCACAGTAAGTGTGGCTAACACTTATTGCACATGCTGTGGGCCTCTAATAATAACCATAACCATGGGAGATTGATATTATCCTCAACAATTTAAGAAACTGAGACTTGGACCTATAAAATTTGCTCAAAGACAAGCAAAGCCTGAAAGTGTTGAAACCACCAACTGATCCAGGCCTGTCTCATTCAAAGCCTTTGCTCTAACAACCAGGCTAGGCAGCTTTTCTCGCTAAAAATAATCTCATTAGAGATTTAGAAAAACAGCATAAGAATCATAGAGGCAGTTACTTGAACCCAAATGCTTAGATAAGAAGCTATTCTAATGTTTTGAAGATTTTTTTTTAGTAACAGTTTTATTGAGATGGAATTCACATATCATAAAATTCACCTATTTAAACTGTATGATTCAGTGGTTTTTAGTATATTCAGAGTTGTGCAACCATCACCACAATCAATTTTAGAACATTTTCATCACCTCAAAGAAACCTCATACTCTTAGCTGTCACCCCTATTATCCCGTCCCCACCCAAACCCTGTGCACCCACTAATCTACCTTCTGTCTCTATATATTTGCCTATTCTGGACATTTCGTATAAATGGAATCACACCACATGTTGGTCTTTTGTGACAGGTTTCTTTCACTTAGCATAATGTTTTCAAGATTCATCCATGTTGTGGCATGAATCAGTTCTTCATTCCTTTTTGTTGCTGAATAATATTCAATTGTATGGCTATGCCACAATTTGTCCATTCATCAGTTGATAGTCATTTGGATTATTTCTACTTTTTAGCTATTATGAATAATGCTGCTATGAGCGTTTATGTACAGGTCTTTGTGTGGACATGTTTTCATTTCTCCTGGATATATACCTAGGAGTGAAATTGCTAGGTAATGTGGTAATTCTATGTTTGTTTGGCAACCCTGTTTAATTTTTAAGGAACTACAAGACTATTTTCCAAATTGGCTGTACCATCTTATATTACCACCAGCAGTGGATGAGGGTTCTGATTTTACCACAGCTTCACTCACACTTGTTATCATCTGTCTTTTTGATTCTAGCCATCCTACTGGGTGTGAAGTGGTATCTCTTTGTGGTTTTAATTTGTATTCCCCAGATGACTGTGTTTTACTTACTTTTAACACATTTTATTATGTTTCTGCTCCCCAAACTAGCTAGTATTTCCAAAAAGGCCTTTTTTTTTTTTTTTTTTTACTACTAGTCTATACCATTGTTGAAAACCTAGGCAGTTCAAAACCACAAGTTTGTAATAAGACCTATATCTACATAAATGGAATTAAGTTTTTGTTTATTCTCTTCTGACTCTGGACATATTAGTAGAGAATTTGAAGGATGTATTTGGGATAGACTTACTAAAACATAGACTTTGTAGTACACCTAAAGTCAATTGGGGGGAATCTTGGAGAGCATAAAACTGTGATGCAACTGCGGAACAGGACAGGAGTGATATCATGTAAAGGTGCTGTAGACAAAGAAAAATGATCAGGTCTCCAAATATGAATCCTAAACCAAAAGTCACAAGGGCTGATCTGAATTGCAAGGATTAATTTGCATGAGGGCTACTCTTTGTAGCCTACTCATGGTGAGAAGCTACAGGGATTTATCCAACGATTCTCACAGGTACTGCTGGAGAGACTGTAGTGTATGTGTATATATCTCCTTGACAATCAAGAGCAGATTTTTCAGGCATCCTACCTGTTTAGTGATTTAAACATATTGGTCCTTCCTTGGGTTTGGTGTGGTAGAGTCAAACTTAAGCCTAGTTCCAAACCTTTCTAAATGTGAACAGGAATAGCATCAACGGGATGAAATTCATATTACCATTGTGATTTTAATTTTTGATAGTAATGGGATATTTAATAGAAAGTCTGACTGTACAAATGGACAATGGCCAGACCATATATGACAACAGAACTTTAATAACCTCTGTAGCAACCAGCCTGGGAAGCCAAGCCACAACTTCTGTAGCAATAAGCCCCAAATGGTCAGGACTTCTTCAATAGCTGCCAGTTTCTCTCATTTTTGCCCTCACTTCCAACTCAGGACGAATCAGAGAAAACCAAATATGCTTCCCTAACTAGTAACATAGGATGCCTGTTGGACTCTAGATAGCCCACTTCCAGCTTCCCCTGTTAACAAACTCCAATCAGAGCATACCAGAAGTTCTCCCTTCTTTTCGCTATACAGCTTTCCCACTCTCTTGCCTGCCTTTGAGCCACTGCCACATGCAAATGATGGAGGCTGACTCCTTTGCTAAAACAAGCTCTGAATAAATAGCCTTTGCTTGTTCTCATTTTGGTTGTTTTCACTTATTTCCACATAGCTAAACTATATCCTTAATTTTTACATGAATCATTTTTATTCATGAATAAATGAATCAAAATGACAGGATAATGCAGTAGAATGTTTTTCCTAGGAGCTGGATGGCAACTCAACATCTGATGATATACAATACCATCCCCCATTCCAATCCCTAAAATAACTGCAGTTGTGGCAGTTGTAACATTTACATATTGTT